GCCTGAATTATGGAAGAACTTAATTTGTTCAAGACATTGGACAAGTAGTCTAATGTGACTGGAGTTTAGTGAATAAAGGGAAAATTGGTGTGGAAAGATACTTGAGAGGTTGATCATAACAGGTCACTTAGGGATTTGTAGAGCATGTTAGGCGTTTCAGATATTATCCTAACTGCAGTAGGAATTCATTGCAAGGTTTTAGTCACAAGAATGATTTGCTAAAATGTTTTTTATTGTTTTTTCTTAAGGCATGTGACCTACACTATACTATGCCAGATAACACGGGCTGGATAGGCAGGATTTGGCAAGAGAAGAAGCAAGAGAGCAGTTAGTTCTTAAATCCCTAGTATAAGTTAGTGCTTATCATAGTCTAGATGAGAGAGGGTGGTTGCAGAGATAGGGGACAGATGGATGGTATAATGAGAAAACTTGGGACTGTAGTGCCCCCCACAACTCCTCGCAAACTGTGAAGTTGCCTAAAGACCAAAGAACAACTCGGACAAGTCCAGCTTGCTGAGTAGGTGAATTTATTAGGACTTACATACAGGGCATTGCTGGACAGCAGCAGTATGGCTCCAAGAGATCCACACAACTCCCCATCTCTAGGCTACTTTTAACCTAATTTTCTGGCTCTTTGCTCCACACTCGCATGTGCGTGCCTGTGTGTGTGTGTCCAGGTCTGTGTGTACGTGTGTGCGTGATGGGACTTTTTTCCTTGGTATATTTCCAGCCATGCCTCAGGATGTTGGGTTCTCAGGGACACTGGCTCCTCAGCTAGGCACCATGGCCTTAGCTAACTGCCTGGCCCTCAAGGTTCAAACATTGGACATAACACTCTTAAGTAACCTGGTGGGGGACACGTCACACTGATGGGTTAAAAATATTAATTTGGAAGTAGAGTCATTGGGACATGGTGAAAGATGATTTGAGATAGAAGGATGTTATAGGTATTAATAACTAAAGAGCAATTCAGAATATGGGCTTCTGCTCATAGGAGAGAGCTGGGCTAGATATAAATTTGGACATTAGTATATAGGTGGTGTTAAAGCTACAGGAGAGAATAATGTCATTATACTAATGATAGTGGAGTACAGAGAAATAAAGCCTAGGACAGAGAACTCTCAGGAAATGGAATAGCCAGTGAAATAATACTAAAAACAGGCAGTTGTATAGGATTGAGGCACAGGTGACAGGAAAAGAGAAGCAGTAGTCAATCGAGCCAGACACTAAGTAAAATGAGGAATGTGTACAAAAAGACAAACATTGCATGATTTCACTGATAGTAGGTATCTAAAGTAATCATCTTCAGGCTGGGTGTGGTGGCTCACTCCTGTAATCCCAGCAGTTTGGGATGCCGAGGCAGGTGGATCACCAGAGGTCAGGAGTTGGAGATCAGCCTGGCTAACATGGTGAAACCCCGTCTCTACTAAATATACAAAATTAGCTGGGCATGGTGGCACATGACTGTAATCCCAGCTACTCGGGAGGCTGAGCCAGGAGAATCACTTGAACCCGGGAGGCAGAGGTTGCAGTGAGCTGGGATCACGTCACTGCATTCCAACCTGGAACACAGAGTGAGACTCTGTCTCCAAAAATAAAAGTAAAGTAGTCATCTTCATAGAAACAGTAGAATGGTGGTAGTTACCACAGGCTAGGGGGAGAGGGAAGGGGTAGTTGTTTAATGGTTTTAGAGTTTCAAATTTGCAGGATGAACAATTTCTGTAGATCTCTTTCACAGTAATGTGAACATACATTACACTAATGACTGTGCACTTGAAAATGGTTAAGATAGTAAGTTTCGTCTTATGTATTTTTAACCACAATTTTTAAAACGAGGAATGTAAATTGTCCATTGAGTTTAGCTACAAAAAATTCATCAGGGACCTTAGCAAGATATAGTTTCATAGAGTGCTGGGAGCTGGGGCCCAGCTGAGATGGTTGAAGACTGACAGTCAGTGAGTATACTGTTATTTCAGTCTGACTGTTAAGGGGAACAGGAAAATAGAAGGTAAAGATATAGTTGGTGGTTGTTTTTAAGAGAAACTACAGCATTTTAAAAGAGAACTCAAAGCCTCCAGTGAAGAAGGAGAGATGGATTAATTGAGGCCACTTAGATTAAGGAAGGAGATGGAGTACACCACATAAGAATGTTGCTATTGGGCAGTTGTCAGGACTAAGGGATAGAAAAAATTCTTCTTACTGGTCCTACAGGATGGTAAAGCTGGTAAGTTATTAGATGGACAACTCACACCTGATTTGCCAGACAGATTGCTCACAGGGGTCCACATTGAATAAGCGCAGAGATGGTACAAAGTCACAATGCATGACTCGCTCTATGTTCATTTATCCTGAGAAAAGCAAGCAAAAAGGGAAAGACTTTATCTGGGAAAGAGAAAGTCTTCATACCTCTCTCTGGTGAGAAATGAAAACTCATTTAAGCAGGACAATGCAGAAAATTTGGCTACTGCAGACATGCTATTAATCAGAGCTTCTTTCAACCTAAAAGGAATAAACATTAGGGAATGTCAGAATGAGAACAGATACTGATGTTTGTTCCATATTAAATGAGGTAGTTTAAGATTTTGTCTTAAGTCTAGTTTTTAGAGGTTGGCTAAGCAATGAAGAGATAATCAGTATGTGTAACACAGGGGAAACCTCCAAAGAGCATTTGCTTGGAAACTTGGAGATTACCTTCAAAGGTGTTTCATGACTTACATGGAATTTATTCTCAAGTGGCACTCAGATTTTTCCAGTCAACATATTTCATGGAGATGTTGGAAGACTCAGCTTCAGCTTCTCCCACTCACTCCCTTTTTTTTAAAATCTGTCCTGTGGTAATATATAGCTATGTTAATAATTTATAACCATATTTTCTTTTTTCCTGAAATAATTATAATGTTTTAATATTATAGAGGAGATTTTTTTAAAGGTATTTTGGAACACTAGTCATTTCTTTGGAGTTACCATGTGCCTCCTTAGGCAAAAAAATCTATTTAGTCAAAATTGTGACACAGTCTCTAGAAGGTGCAAATATGTTTCAATATATAAATATTATGAATTAGTCATTTGGAAAAAACAAATTTCAAGCATTTATTTCACAAATATTTGTTGATAACCTTATGGTAAGCACTTTGTTAATGTACACTTCATGTATATCAGTAACTATTTCTATCAGGGAGCTTCTTGTCTATGAGACTGGATTTAAACAAATGATGACACAAATTGTATAAAAATAATAAATTCTATGAGTTAAAAAGTACAGGCTGCTATGACAGCACATGACAACAGGGCAGCCTAAGGTGGTTTGGGGAATCAGGAAGGCCCTCTGGGAGGAGGTGACATTTAAACTGAGGCCAGAAGGGTGCTTAGGAATTATCCCAGTGAAAGTGTGGTAGAGCAATGGTTGTAGAAAGTGAAGAGTAGGAGACTGTGCAGAGGCCAGGAGGTGCGAAGAAGCAGGACCTATTTCAAAAAGAGATGGAAGGCTCCAGTGGACTGGAGAAGCCAAAGAGAGAGGACCAGCTTCATGACATAACACCGAAGAACAGGTAGCCCAAGATCACGTAGAGCAGTGCTAGAAGGTCTAAACAACAGGCATTATCAGATTTGTGTTTTTCAGAGTTCAATCTGGTAGCTCTATGGAGAAGTTATTCTCTAGGACAGGAGTCAGCAAATATTTTTCTGTAAAGGTCCAGATAAGAAATATACTAGGTTTTTGAGGTCATATGGTCTCTCACAATTAGTTCTCATATCATGTGAAAGTAACCATAGATATGAAGAATGAACCTGGCTACGTTCCAATAAAATTCCAATAAAACCTTATTTATGGATGCTGAAATTTGAATTTTATATAATTTTTGTGTGTCTTGAAATATTATTATATTGATTTTCTTAACCATTAATCATTTAAAAATATGAAAACTATTCTTAGCTCATAGGCCATACAAAGGCAGGCAGGGCCTGAATTTGGCCAGCAGGCCATGGTTTGCCGACCCATGTTACGGTTCTTGTATTTCTTATTCTCTAAAATTTTCTGCTCTACCTCTTAAATGATGTTTTAGTTCTATCATGACATTTTTCTTCAATTGTCTACGTTTTTTCAACACTCTGGTAAAGGTTTGACTAAAGTGAAATAAGAAACAGGACTGTAACCTCTCTTTTTCTATTTTTTTATCCATTTTTTAATCCATTTATATAACACGACTGACCATTCTATTTTTTTATTTACAGACTTTTAAAAAAATCTCTATTTTGTATTTTTCCTGTTTTATTTTTCTTCCCAAAGTTTTATACCTAGTGATTTCTTTTTATTTTTTAACTTAACATTGAGGTTTTCATGTTTTCTTTACCTGGTAGTAGTTCTAAAATTTAATTCTGGCATTCTAAATCAAAAATAGTACAGATACCAGAAAAACAAAGTCCTAAAATTGCATGCAACCATCTCTTGTAAGAGTAGATAAAATAGTTTGTTTACATCAAGATAAACAACATCCATATAATTTCAGATCTACAAACACAACATTCTGACTTGAAATTTTCGGTTGGTTGCTTATAGGGCACTTTATAGGCAGCCACTTCATAATATGCTGGAAAGCGTTACATAGTGGAAATAATACAGACAGACCTGGTCCAAATTCCACCTAACCGTTACTAGATGTATGGTATTTGGCAACTTAATTAACTTCTTGGAGCCTAAGTTTTTTTTAAAGCATTCAAAATACATAATGAATGGGAATTTCCACCTTCTTTTCCCCTGTAAGCGTAATATTTTATTACTTAGAAGTAGCCATGCTAAAGGATTTGGGGGGGAAACAGCCCATATTTTGTGGTGGTGGGGGTGTTTTTGTTTTAACCATTTGTAGATGTGAAGTAAAAAAAAACACCTAGTGTTCCCCAAATTGAACTAATATAGATTTAAAGGTTGGTATAGATGATAAATGTCTTTTGTGCTTTTCATTAATATTTCCTTTGCCTTATATATTTTACTTCTGAAAACTTAGGTTTGACAGTTCTCTGGAAGACCTACCTAAGAGTGGACTGCACCCACCTGCAACTCCTCAGGTGTTAACTATTGGTAGCCAAGTGGCCACACTTTCTAAAGTAGCAACTACTTATTCTAGGTAGACTTTTTCCTTCTTGGTGTTTTTAAAATTTCAAAGCTGGCAGTGAATTTAAATATACTAAACTGTTTGAAAAAGAAAAGGTGATTGTTGATTGCAGAACTGACATGATTAACATATAGACAAGAAAGCTTGGCACTCAACCTCAAAACACTACTTCTCACTGCTTTTATATTTATATTTATATATTTTTGATTAGTTTTAACTTCTAATATAGAATCAAGAAATCTCTTTTATTTATTCACTTTGTGATTTGGAAAATTAACTTGCTGGATTTGTCATGAGTCTCTTTTTCTGAATTAGAGCATTTGCCTCAAAGACAGATCAAGGTCATACACGATAGTTACCAGATGCCCAGACATATTCTAAAGATAGTCAGATAAGCAACTGCTTATGAGATGTTACTAGATTCTGGTGATACTAAATCCTTTTCTATTATTTGTGATACAATATGAAATTCATTACCATTTCCTTTTCTTCCTGAAGAATGAATTAGCTGATTTATTTTTAAGTGATTTTTTAAATAGACTTAAGTTTCCAGTTCTTATTATTCACCATTACTTCTCTAAATAGTAACCATTGCCTCAAAGATGCAGAGCAATTCAGAAACTCAAAAGTTGAATCACGTGGTAACTTGATTCTTCCCTTTGACATTCATGTTACCTACCCTGCCCTACCATTGATAGCATCTTTCTTTTCTCTTTCCAGAACCTGATGTTTTCTTTTCTAACCATTCACAACAGTTGTTAAAACTTAGCCATACAGTTTAATTTAATGGATAGACCTGGATAGACCCCCCCCCAAAAAAAATTTACTTAATTCTGTATAATTTTGAAAAAACAGCTTGCCACTGTTCCTTAATTTTTTTTCTAATGGTTTTTGTAAAGTTATAGCCTATGGAACTTGGAAGAATGACTTATTAAATTCTTCTGACAGGAAAAAGAGACTTATGTCCACCCTCGCAGTTTCAAATATCTAACCTCTCATTAACTGGGGCTTGAGTTTGCCAAATAATTGCTTTGCATTGGAGGTGGCCATTGTCACAAACTTCTGAAAAAAGTGGTCATGCTGTAGTGATAACACTCATTGATAACTTGCACCCACAAATAAAGCAGAGAGACGACAAGTTTCACACTATGCAGTTTAGACACTCTTTTTATTTTACTTAATAATCAATTTGAAAATCATTATAGTCTTAATGATAGTATGTTCATTCCTGTCCAGGCATTTAATCTTTTCTAAAAGGCCAAAAGAAAATTATTATTTTAAATAATAAATACTTATTACTTAGTTCTGAAGAAAAAATGCTATACCTGTATTTGAAAATCCTTACAGAACTAACTGATAATAGAAATACGGAACTCAGCAGAAAAGGTGATGTTTTGGTCATATTCACTGTAACATCTGTTTATTTTTGCAAAGGTACTTTCAGTCCTTAAATAGCTTTACTCTCAGTATTTTAAACAATTATCTCTTTTCATGTTCATGTATATTGCTGCTTCTCAATAGGCAGTCAGTTGTACCTGCTTCTCCTGAAAACATAAGTCTTATTGAAATGTTACACTGTCAGTGTATATCGTCTCTAAGGTAAAGCTCATTAGAGGCTTTTTGGAAAAAAAAAACACCACCACAAAGTTTTCTTTTTTCTATGCTTATAGAAATTCAGACTTCATGTTTAGATTTATTTTCTACTAAGTTGTTGGCAAGTCAGTCTTTAAATGTGTGATACAAGGTAATTTTAAATAGGAATAGAGTCAGTGAACTTAAATACAAGAATATTTGTATGTCAAAATCTGCTTTTTGGAGGATTATACACCAGCTTTTACCTCATAAGAGAAACCATAGCAACAGTAACTAAATGGCCTGAACTCCTATTACACTTCTTACACTTCACCCCTTTACAATGCCTGGATATTAATATGGAATGATTGCTCTCTTATATTTATCACGCTACCCTTTCTTACTTTCCTTTTTGTTCCTCTCTTGTTTTTCTTTCCCTCTTGTCAGTTTAAGCTGCTCCACAGGAAGTGTGGAAGATTCTTTTGAAGGTTTTCTAAACTTTTCTACCTTCTTTTCTCCTGCTAGATACAGTGCTGCAGTTCTGAGCAGGGCAGCTGCTACTGTGTCCGCTGTTATTGCTGCAAAAACCAGGTAGAACTACACGTGCAGCATCTGTCTGATGTGATCCCAGTGCTCTTCACTGTCTTACAAGTCACCTCATAGAAAACATACCCATTTGAAGCAATCATAGCTCTATTATGAGCTCTTAATTGTATAGTGGATATTTTATCTAGATTGTGGATAAATGTCACAGTATTTGTTACTAATGTTTTTTCTTAAAAAATCACCTTTTGGTCTCTCTCCATTGCTGCCGTTTATGTATGACATTTCTCAGTTGCGTGGATTATTACATGTTGTGTGCTAATTGGCACTTGGGTTTTTATAATTTTCAGGTTTTATATTTGAAACAATAAAGTATTAGTGAGTATTTTAAGTTTCTATTGATTTTATCTTCTCCCACAACCTTTAAAGGGTGATCTGAAGACCACTCTCTGAAATAGCCCTTTTCCCCTAAAAGAAATAAAATTGCTTCCTTTTCTAAAAAGAATAAAATGTTTTATTTTCGTGACTCGGGGGTTTTAGATAATTTCTGTAGTCCTTAGAGCTTCAAATACTTTCTAACTGATGGCTTTGACCATTTTGGTGAAAATCTAATCAAGGTTATATTAATGAGTAAAGTGATAGAATAAACTCTTGGTGCTTCTTTTTACCTTCTTTGATCCTCCTTTGCTGCTTTGTGCTTCTCCTCCTTCTTCTTTCTCCCCCAACCCTCCCTCTCTCAAAGGAAATGTTTCAAATCACAGACCTTAAAAACTACTATCTGCTATTGGTAGTGTGAATTTTGACTTAAAACTCTTTCCAAATGCTTACCAGGCTCTACACTCCTGAAAGATACCACTCAATCCTGGATGCACTTTGCATCAGCCCTGTCTCCAAGCCTTTAGCTTTTTCCTATCTGCAGTCCTCAAGGAAATCGACTGGCTCTATCCATGTTAGGAAAACAAGGTACTGTGGGAGCAGATATGGCAAGTGTGGTTTGCTGTTAAGGAGATTGCTTTCTGTCTCACTTCACCACTGTATTAACAGGCCAGGTGAGAAGACCTTAGAGCTCTAGGGATTTGTGCCCAATTTTGAATTAACTGTAATTTCAATGCCATGCTAATGCACAAGCACAGTATGTCCTATTAACTCACCTTTTAACCTTTTGTGACATCTTTCATTAGCATACTTGATGTTCGGTGTGAAATTTTGAGTAATTGTACAATTATTTAAATTGCAGTAGAATTTCTGTCTTTTATTGCATGGATATAGCTATATTAGAATACTCAAATGTTTGATATACCTTTTGAAAAAATGAAAAAGAATTATCAATTTTGATTGGCTATATATTATAGTCCTTAAATATGAAAGTTTTGCTTGGAAAAGCAACTTAATTTTCACTGTATTTGAGAAATGCTAAACACAAACATAGATTTTTCTCCTAAGCTTAATGATGAAGCCAGAAATTTTTAGGCATAATACAAAAAATAAAAATATCGCAGGTGTTTACTAAACATAAAATCACAAGGAAATAACTGTATACAATGATTTTTGACAGAACATAAAATCAGTGGCAAAGTGTACAACATAGTGAAAACCTGATATAACTAGACTGTATATTGATTAGATGTTTGTGTCTTAACCACTGTTATAGGGATTTTTCAATATATTTACCTATTATTCTGGGTAACTTTTAAGGGAGGTGTTTAAACAAGGGGGAAAGATCATAGTACATTTTTCTCTAAGAAAAGACAATACCTGAAATTATTTTATATGTTTGCACAATTGTGAGTGTTCAGTGAGCAGAAGTCTTTCATCATCAGGGATGAAATTGTACAGAGGCAGGTTATTGGCCATGCTTAGAATATACTTTGAGTACTTGAGTACACTTAGACAACACTTAAAATTTTTTTTAATTTTTATTATTTATTTGTTTATTATACTTGAAGTTCTGGGGTGCATGTGCAGAACGTGGAGGTTTGTTGCATAGATACATGTGCTGTGGTGATTTGCTCCACCATCACCCCATCATCTACATGAGCTATTTCTCCTAATGCTATCCCTTCCGTAGCCCCCCACCCCTCCAACAGGCTCCGGTGAATGATTTTCTCCTCCCTGTGACCATGTGTTCTCACTGTTCAGCTCTAACTTATGAGTGAGAACATGCAGTGTTTGGTTTTCTGTTCTGTTGGTTTGGTGAGAAAGATGGTTTCCAGCTTCATCCATGTCCCTGCCAAGGACATGAACTCATCCTTTTTTATGTCTGCGTAGTATTCCATGGTGTATATGTGCCACATTTTCTTTATCTGGTCTATCATTGATGGGCATTTGGGTTGGTTCCAAGTCTTTGCTATTGTGAACAGTGCCACAGTAAACATATGTGCATGTGTCTTTATAATAGAATGATTTATGCTCCTTTGGGTATATACCCAGTAATGGGATTGCTGAGACCACACTTTTCAAACTGGTGACAACTATAGATCCTCTCTCCAGAAAAGTGCCTGTGTGCATATACATGCAAGAGTGTGCATGCATTTATGGACTGACTGTGCTATCTATGGCTTCACCTCTAGAGCAAGTATTAGTAGTCATCACCATTGCTTTTTATTAGCAGCAATAGGGCTTAGACAAAACATAGTTTGATATTGAGAGAGGGAAATGGTTCCTAAAAAGATAGGCTAATTGGCATTCTAGAAAGCTGAAATATGGGGTTTCTTGAGGAGACCCTTGCTAACTTACTGAGAGGGGTACTCAAAAGAGCAGAAACATTTTACCTTGAATGATAGTAATCATAAAATGTGTCAGAGATATTTTATCTTGATTTTTACTTTTGTGTGATAGTAATCCTTAAAATTATAAGCATAGTATAATACCAAAAATATTTTTCCCATTAAAATATATTTCCATTATAATATATATTAGTATATTATGCTGTAAATTTTGGCTTACAAACTCTAAATTAAAGAATTTTGCTTATGAAAATATTAAAAACTTTCTTCTAAATATGGAATTCTGGAAGGAAAGATACTCATTACCCTCTCTACATGTCCAGGTCCTTTAAAAGAGTTCTGTCAGAGGAATTCTATAAAATAAACAATTGCTCGTAACTAAGGCCTTTCCAGAAATATTCCTTTCCTGCCATTTCAGAATCTGTATGTTAGTATACCATTGTTTGGTAAGACTTTAGCCAAAAGCTGTTTAACTTAAAAATTGATAATTAAACCTGTGATATACACTTAGATTTTTTTAAAAAAAAATTTAAACACGTAATTAGAATGTTACTTTCAAAAGTATTCTTCAAGCAGAGTTTTTCCTTTGAAAATAGACTTAAAATTTCCAAGCGTTCTTAATCTGTATCTGAGCTTTATTTGTTATAATAGTTAAACAAATGTGGGAAAGGAATGTAAACTCAAGATAAATCAGGTTGCTGACACTGAGAGTTAACTTTTCTTCCTTTTTTTTCCTCATTAGCTCCATCTTGAAAATAAACTTTTGCTCTATTAGTGTATTTGTGTCTATTTTCAGTTTTTGAAAAAATGAAACAAAAATCTTGGTATTCTCGAGACAGAAAAATCTTGGTATTGATATCAATATATTATTTCATTTCCATCCTTGTTTATTTGGCAGATTAGTGAAAATAACCATATTTTAATTTCAGTATCTGTGGTATCAGCCAAGGATATCTATGGATTTACAACAATTTCCTCATTAGAATCATTAGAAAACATTTAATTTTTTTTTTAGGATTTAGGTACATCTTAAACAATTTAAAATTAGAATAAATATATTTGAATCATGAGTTCAGAAATAAAATAGCAATCTAATTTAAGTAACAATGTCATACTATGTTAATAAATCATTAATTTTAGAAGTTTGCTGCTAGTGATTATTGATAACATTTTATTCCCATGTATAAAATAATATGGTTGGTGACTTATTTCTTTCATCTTTAGTACAATGTTTGTTTTTTTACAGAGGCAAGGTCTTGCTATATTGTCCAGACTAGTCTTGAACTCCTGAGCTCAAGCGATTCTTCTGCCTTGGCCTCCTGAAGTGCTAGGATTACAGGCATGAGCTGCTGTGCCCAGCCAATACCTAATGTTTATGTGTTCTCTGTATATAGTAGCTAATAGTTAAAATTAGGGGGAAAATGTTAGCGTTTTAGAGGATTGGGCATCATATATTCAGATATATGATTGTCTAGATAAACCCTAATATTCTTCCATGACAAAATTAAATGATTCAAGTAAATAGGGATCTATTTCCCCAGAGAAAATTGAACTTCAGACCAATTCTGGATTTAAGCATAAATGGAAGAACTGCCTTGGTTATGACTTAGATTTCTATGAATTCTTTATAGTCTACTCCAAGCCCTTTGTAGCTAAAGAGTACTCTTTTAAGATTTAAACATCTTAGGCCTTTGAGAGAGAATATATACAAATCTGTATACAAAATACAATCAAAATTAAAATTTTATTTAGCTTATATAATACTTATCCTGTGGAAACTTTAAAAAGTATTGTGTGTTTTTAAAACTGAACTGAGGAAGTAAGGTTTTGTCTAGGGTCAATACCCTGTACTCTAATGATCCACAGTACATTTAGAAGCAAAATTCTTAGTGCAGGTGAAGGATGCTTATTTAGTAAATATACTTGTTGCTAATTTTATTATCACCAAACCAGATATTACAGGATGTAGAAATAAGAATCCCTTATATTTCCTGAGCACATACTCTGTGCTGGGCACTGTGCTAAGTACTCCGCATGTATTATCTCGTATCTTGTTTCTTACAGTAACCTTGGGATAAAGGTAGTATTTTTATAGTATTTTACAGATAAGGAAATTTGCCAAGTTTAAATAATTTGCCTGCAGTCACAGTAAAATCCCCAACCTCAGGTAGTTTATAATGTAGTGGAGGAGACAAGATGCATAAAGAAGTAACTATTAATACTAATTTTAAATGGGCTATTACAAATCAGTATAAAATTATATGCCATGCAGTTAACAAATGTCCTGAATTAAAAGGAGTGTCTCTACTGGTGGAAGCTTGAATAAATAAACAAAATGATGTATGTTAATTTGAACACGGTACATGATGTGTATTATATTTACTTCTTTTATTAATTACAGATAAGATATGGATGGGTGCATATAGAGAGTATGAAGAGGTACCTCATATGTAGAATCCGGAAAAAAAATGTAGAATTATGGACAGACAGTAGGGGTGGCAAGAATATAGTTTGTATAGCACAGTGATAGATGAGATTAGACTAGTAGATTGTAGTTTTATCTTAGAAGGCTTTGTGTGTGGTTCTGAAATATAACTAAGCCTTCTACAGGCTAAATAGCTACATTCATTCTGCAGCATTCCATCCTCTGCTTAAGTAGCTTCTGGTGACGGGTCTTACAGAAAGCCTCAGTAGGAACAGATTTCTTTCCTTTTGATGATTTTTTGTATTAGGAAGCACCTTTTATTGAAGCAAATCCATCTCACTATAGATTTCACTCCATGAAATTAGGCAAACAATATAGTCACATAGAGTGAATCCCCATGTCAGAAATTTGAGGATGACTCTCGCACTTCTCTAAATTTTTTTCATAACCTGAGCTGCTATTACCAGTTCCCTCACCCAAACTGTATTAGGCTTGACACCAAAGTCCTCTCTTTTAAGTCAGTTTGCCTGGCAGCTCCCTGGAATTAAATTTTAATTCTTTCAGATGACTTACACATTAAATGGTGATGGATTGGGTTTTGTTGTTATTTCCAGACTATATTTTTGTTTCATCTATAATTTCTAGCATTGCTTGGTCATAAATTTTCTTCTTAGACCTGTGATCATATACATTATTAATTACTTTTAAAAATAAAATCTGCAAGAGTAATTTAATCCTGGAATGAAAATGACCTCTATATAAGTATTTCAAAAATCATTTATTTGTAATAAGTAAAAGTGTTGAAAATAAGACTTACTTTTATTATTGAATACAATAATTATGTTAAGGTTATATTCTGTGCTTTAGAGTATGCTAAGCACTTTATGCATAATTATCTTATTTAAGCCTCATAGAAATCTCATGAGCAAAATGTGATTCCCACTTAAAGTTTAGGTAACTGAGGCTTAGAGAAGTAAAATAATTTGTCCAGTACAGTGTTTTTAGAAGATGCCCATAACCACTGTACTATAATGTTTCAACCCTGTTTCCATTAATGTTTTTTGTTTTGTTGCCTTTACTGATAGTTGTGTTCAATATTATCATGAGGGAGGCAGTCTTTGACTTTTTATTTATTATAAAGATTTTTTAAGTGCTTAACATTTTTTATTGTATAGTGTGTTTTATAATCAAGCAAGTTTTAGATTTTTAAATTAAACTGATCAGAAATAATGAAAGGTGATGGCTCTATGACACTTGCATTTGAGAAAACAAGAATAGGGAGCAGTATTTCAAGAAAATCATTTGTATGGTTTTTCAAAGCTGTTTAGTGTCAGAAATGCTCCCAGACCACTCCCATGTCTATTGTTTCACTAGAAGGACTTACAAGACTGAGCATATAGTTGCACTCATGACTATGATTTTTTATAGCAAAAGAATACAAAGCAAGGTCAGCAAAGGAAAAAGGTGCATGGGACCAAGTCTAGAGGAAATGAGGCTCAAGTTACCAAAAGGCCTCTCCCAGTGGGGTCACACGGGAAGTGCACTATTCCTCCAGCAGCAAATGTGGCAAAGCATGCAAAGCGTTTCCTACCATGAAGCTCATTAGAGAACACATACCAAGGTTTTTCTTAAGGGCTTGTTACATAGGCACCTTGTGGTGAGTTTGTACCAGGATTGTAGACTCTCAGAAAGAAAGCAGGTGTTCAACATAAACCATGTTGTTTATACAAACAGTTAAGACACAGAGGGCCACTCTTAGCATTTAGAGAAAGTTTTATGTCACTTGGCCACAGTTCACCAGCCAAGTTCCCCGATGCCAGTCAAGGGCCAACTTTGCAAGCAGGCCTTCTATGGATGGGCAGTCTGGGGCTTACTATGTTAGGTGTTACCTAAGATTTAAGAGTCACTGGGGAAATTATAAACTGTTGTTCACTTGGTAAGATCATGGACAATATTTAGTTTGTAACTTATTTTTATTAAAATAATCTCCACTTTAAACAGTATAAGTAAGGATATTTTATCGAAGTCATTAATATAGTACCCTGTCTTTATCAGTCTCTTCTCCAGCTGTTGATTTCAGGTATTGAAATCATTTGAATTTTTGTGCATGGAATTTTTTAAGCAACCGTCATTGAAAAGTTAAGTAATAGAAAGATTCTGTTTCCTGTATTTTGTTGTGGTTTGTTTTTGTTTTTGTTTTTGTTTTTGTTTGAGATGGAGTTTCACTCTGTCACCCAGGCTGGAGTGCAGTGATGCAATTTTGACTCACTGAAACCTCCGCCCCCTGGATTCAAGTGATTCTCCTGATTCAGCCTCCCAAGTAGCTATGATTACAGGTGCCCACCACCACACCCAGCTAATTTTTGTGGTTTTATTAGAGACAGGGTTTTACCATGTATTTTAGGCTGGTCTTGAACTCCTGACCTCAGGTGATCCACCCACCTCAGCCTCCCAAAGTGCTAGGGATTGCAGGCATAAGCCACCATACCCAGCCTGAAAGTATTCTTTTTAAGTAGTATTATTATACTTTACTTGATGGAAATAATCATTACTATATTTTATAGTTTGGGCTACCTAGAATTATTATTTTTTGGAAATGATGTCATATATAATTATAAATAACAAATGACTTGGTAATAAAGGCCATATGATCTTCAAAACCAAATTGGATCTACCATAGATAAAACCTCTTGTAAACAGGAGAGAAGATAATGGTAGTTGAGAGAAGATAATGGTATTCTTGTCTCTTTTTTCCCTTTATTATGAATGCAGAACACTGGGTGTTCTGTTAGGCAAGGGATGTTGTCTCTTGTTTATTGTTTTGTGGACAGTGCATAGCACAACCAACCTTTGGCATATAGTAAGTACTTAAATATTTACGAATGAGTATGTGAGTAGAAGGAGTAACTGGGCTGGTCATAATGGCTCACACCTGTAATCCCAGTGCTTTGGGAGGCTGAAGTGGGATGATTGCTTGAAGCCAGGCATTCAAGACCAGCCTGAGGAACATAGTGACCCTGTGTCTACCAAAAAAAAAAAAAAAAAAGTAACTGGTAAGGGGTGAGGTGTCAGGGAAACTTTTATTGTTTAAAATGATTAACTGCATAAGTTTTCAGTAGCCTAATTTCTTGTGGTAGATCTTTTAAAAATAATTTTCAACATAGAGAACAAATGTCATCTGACTCCTTTTTTGTTTTAAAGAGAGGCAGTCCCTATTTTCTTTTCTAAAAAATTGATTAATTAGTGTTTTGTTTTCCTTAAAAATTAATGGATTTTGAAAAGAAAGGATTATTGCTAAGTTACATTGCTACCACTTCACCAAAGATGTTTCTTTATTTCCTTTACAGTAACTCTCAGGAGCCTTCTCCACAGTTGGCTTCCTCAGTAGCTTCCACACGGAGCATGCTGGAAAGCCTGGACAGCCCAGCCCCTGGCAGACCCGGGGTGGCCAGCCTCGCCACTGCAGCTGCCTTCAAACCTGTAGGATCCACCAGTATCATCAAGTCACCAAGCTGGCAACGGCCAAACCAAGCAGGTAGTCCAAAGAAATGTCTTGCTTCTTGCTTTTCTTAAAGAGTGTGTGTTCTGCGATATATGGTATTATTCTCTGGTAAAACCCATTCTCAATAACCTAAGATTTAGAAAGGACTATCAAGATTAGACATCTCATGAATATTCTGTATTTGATACAGTTGCATTTGCTACTCATAATTGTAGGATTCGGCATTGCCTTGTTTCCCAGAATATTCAGGAAGCATGTGTTGAATTGTAAATTTGGGTCTTATTTAATAACAGACTATATTGTTGGAAGGTTATCCTTGGAAATAAAACATTTTATTTTTGATGATATGTGCAAATAACAACCACAGAAACATTTATTGCCATCAAACAATTATTCAAGAAAACATCCTCCAATTCTTGTTCTTACAATGTGTATAGCATAGGGAAAGAAGGACACAGTCCTAGAAAGAACATTTGAGCAGCAGTGGAACAACTTGGCCTCAGTCCAGAAACCTGAGTTCTCATTGTCTTCTACAGGTTAACAGCCTTAAATAAAGTCACATAACCTCTTTGACACCCTCAGTTTTCTGTTCTGCAAAACAAAGAGAAACTAAATCATTTTCTATTTCTCCCAACATGAACAAAGTTTATGATTATATAACAAAAGTAACCCTTTTAAAAGGGAAATAGGACTATAATCAAATGTTGCCAATCTCAAACTCAGCCTTCATCTCTTCTCACTCTTTATACTCTCCCAGGGTGATCTCTCATCCAGGTTCTTTTCACTGCTTAGCCATCCATAATTTACAGATCTTTCTCTCCAGCTTCCTCCAAGTAACCTATTTGCCATCTCCTGGTGGCACCTCAAATCCAGTATGTCTGAAAATACCATTTCCTATCTCTGGGAGTTGCACATCCACGTAGTCACCAAAGCTAGAGTGTGAACTTTTAGACCCCACGTCCCACATTCTCATAGTAACTCACATCTAATGGTTTTATTTTTCAGTATTTCTCAAATTTCTTCTCTGTGTCATCAGAGCCATTGCTTTGATTCATGCCCTCTTCATTGCAAATGACTTCTAATTTCCCTGTCTCCTTTTCACTCCTTCAGTGTGTCCTCCATACGGCCATACTAGAATGAGTGATCTTGCTTTTTCTTTTTTTCTTAAGAGACAGGGAAATTAAACGTCATTTTAAGATATAGTCGTCCCTGGGTATTCGTGAATAGGACTTCCACCAGTACCAGAATTTGAGGCTGCTCAAGTTCCTGATGTACAATAGTGCAGTATTTGCATATAACCCACATATATCCTCTCGTATACTTTCAGTCATCTCTAGATTACTTATAATACCTAATATAATGTAAGTACAGTCTCCCAGTCTGGAATGCAGTAGCACAATCATAGCTCACTGTAGCCTCAAACTCCTAGGCTCAAGTGATCATCCCACCTCAACTTCCCTAGCAGCTTCCTTTTTTTTTTTTTTTTTTTTTTTTAATCGGTAGAGACGGGTAGCATTATATTGCCCAGGCTGGTCTCAAAATTCTGGGCTTAAGTGATCATCCCACCTTGTCTTCCCAAAGCATTGGGATTGCAGGTGTGAGCTGCCATGCTTAGCCTTTCTTAACTCTGATTTGCTGCTTCACTCCCAAGCTGTGGATGCTCGACTATCTCATCCTTCCTTAACATATCATCTAGGACCTTTTCTTCTTTGGCCCCTACAAGCTTCTCAACCTCATCTCCTGCTTTGCCCAATTTATAATCTGTGCTTTGTTGCACTAAACCATCTTCAGTTTCTAAGACATGCCATGCTACCATGCTTTTGAAAGTTCTTACCCCTCTGTACAGAAGGTACTTCTTCACTTAGTCCTGTAATTTCTAGTCTTTCTTCATCAGTTTTGAGATGAGTGCTGATTGAGTACACAAGTGGCCACTTTTCACAGTATGATAGCTTTAAGAATTGATCATGGCTGAGTTGGGTGGCTCACATTTAGAATCCCTGCACTTTGGGAGGCTGAGGATCACTTGAGCCCAGGAGTTTGAGATCAGCCTGGGCAACATGGCAAAACCCATCTCTACTAAAAATATAAAATATTAGCCAGACATGGTGGCACGTGCACCTGTAATCCCAGCTACTTGGGAGGCTGAGGTGGGAGCATCACTTGAGCTCAGGAAGTTGAGGCTACAATGAGCCATGATTACGCCACTACACTCCAGCCTGGGCAACAGGAGTGATACCCTGTGTCTAAAAAAAAAAAAAAAAAATTTGATCACTCATTATTTGTTTGAGAATATTTTTGCCATTTGTAAGAGTGAATTTTTAGTTAATTAGGAATCCATCTTATTTTTGTATTTTCCACAATGTTTAACATTAATTAAAATCCTTTATATTTTTTAGAAAACCTTATACAGTCTATTTTATAATGGCATATGTCACATGTCACTAATTTTGCTAAGAAGTTAGAATTATTTCTATTGTGTTGGAAAGAGGATAGGCCATTGCATATTGTTAGACTATTTAAGAGGAAAGACTTTTATTACTTCTAAAAACTTAAACCATTCAGTCTAATATTGTTAGTCTATGAAATTTATGGCCTATTAACCATCTTAGCAAGACCTGTGCTCTTGGGGAAAAAATGGTAAGCTCAGCCCCATACATTTTTTAGTTATTTCTATTTTAAAGTGTATGTATGATGATGAAGATTTTCTGTAATTATTTTGTGTGCATTTGAATACAGAAAGTAACTTTCAGAAAAAAATGCTGTTGGTATGGCAATGGCTTTTATAAAAAGGAAGGAAAAGACTAAATTTCTGAGGTAGAAACTGAAGGGAAGGCACAAAGTAAATGGACAGTGGAGGACAGAAAGTTTATATACGGCCTTTGGAAGTTCAGAAATTTATGGTTAAAATACTGTTTTGCCTCTTTCTTTTTTAATTGCATTTTAGGTTTTGGGGTACATGTGATGAACTACGTGGAAAGAAACAAATTGGTTTTTTTTTTTTTTTTTGCACTCTTGGTGAACATAGTACAGGAAAATTACCACAAGAGGGCAATGGAGTGCTTTCTCCAAGCCTAATTAAATTTGTTAGAATAATCAAAGTAGGCAAATATTAGCAACTGTAATAATGATTCACATGGTTAGTGTTTAAAACATTGTTTTTTCTAGAAAATGTAAATGAATTTTACATGAGCAAAACTACAACAGTATAAAACATTATACATTATGTGACATTATAAAGCAAAATTATAAAAAGAAAGTATGTTTTCTGTTGTGAAGTCACAGTTGAATTACATCATAATGCTTAGCTCAAATTAGAAAATATTTACTGAGCTCTTATTTATCTTACTCCAGATGCTATAAATGGGCAGGTAATGCATTATTATGTTGTAGCAAAGTTAACTTATTTTGTGCTATTTCAGAAAATTTAAAAATAAATACAAAATTCCCAGCCATTCAAATTCTTCTGCCCTACGCAATGGTATGCCATAGTTTAAAGACAACAACAACGACAACAAAATAATTTCAGAATGTACTCTTAGTCTTAGATAAATAGTTTCAAAAGCTTCCTGATGCAAATGAAAAAGTCTTTCGATTTAGAAGATGATAGTGGGCTCATCATGGGTTCATGCGTTCTTCATAGTTCACCTGTGGAAATGACGGTGCCAACTAAAGAGATGTAGCAGTCAGGAAGTGAGTCTGTGGGCTTTAAGTATTAAGGCAGGTGGCTTTCCTTCTCTCACATTAAAGCTTCAGGCCTCATTCTCTTAGCTGAGAAAGGAAAAAACAAAAAACAGGCCAGGCACAGTGGCTCACGCCTATAATCCCAACACTTTGGGAGGCCAAGGCTGGTAGGTCACAAGGTCAGGAGTTCGAGACCAGCCTGACCAACATGGTGAAACCCCGTCTCTACTAAAAATACAAAAATTAGCCGGGTTTGGTGGCACATGCCTGTAATCCCAGCTACTCAGGAGGCTGAGGCAGGAGAATCGCTTGAACCTGGGAGGCAGAGGTTGCTGTGAGCTGAGATGCTGAGATCAAGCCACTGCACTGCAGCCTGAATGAGAGTGGGACTCTGTCAAAAAAAAAAAAAAAACCGACAACAACACAATTTGATCCCTCCTAACCCTGCAAATCACCAAAGAGTGACTGTTACCATTGATGACATTTTAAATCATCCCTGGATATTCGTGAATAGCTGTTCCAGGACTCCCACCAGTACCAGAATTTGAGACTGCTCAAATCCCTGATGTACAGTAGTGCAGTATTTGCATATAACCCACATGTATCCTCTCGTGTTCGGTCATCTCTAGATTACTTATAATACCTAATATAAGGTAAGTACTATGAAAATCGTTGTACTGTATGTATGTATGTATATATGTATTTGAGACAGGGTCTCCGTCTTTCACTCAGGCTGGAGTGCAGTGGCACAATCTCAGCTTATTACAACCTCTGCCTCCCAGGCTCAAGCCATCCTTCCTGCCTCAGTCTCCTGAGTAGCTAGGACTATAGGTTTGCACCACCAGCCAGCTAATTTTTGTATTTTTTGTAGAGACAGGGTTTTGTCATATTTCCCAGGCTGGTCTGTAACTCCTGAGCTCAAGCAAACTTCCTTCCTTGGCCTCCTAAAATGCTGGGATTATAGGCATGAGCCACCACACCTGGCCATACTGTATTTTTTATGATCTTTTTAAAAAGTGCTGTGTTAACTTTTTCAATTCTCTATCGGTAGAATTCATGGATGTGGAACCCGCAGATACAGAGGGCCAACATAAATACATAAATGTCTATAAGGAAGTATGTGTATACACACATGGCAAACACATAAGTTTTGGGTCAGAAGATAAAGTATATTTATTACTGTGTTTTACAGTTTTTAAGAAAAGTTTGAAAGTCACCGATTTAAGTAAATATCTCATTTTTTTTTGTCTATTGAGTGATGACTATTGTAGTTTTGAAGTGAGGGGCCAAAAAAAAAAAAAAAGCTGCATTGAAATGACTGAAATTTTAAGACACTGCCATTGTACTCTGAG